GTTTAGTTATGATGTAAATACAGTAAAAATTAAACCAAGATTTATAATAATTATCATTTTGATCCGTACATTGGTAATGTGTGACTGGGCCTCGTGTCACTTTATGTTGAACAAATTGGGCCCCGAGGTCAAAAAGGTTAAGAACCCCTGGTGTAGAGCACTGTGGAGTCCATTGGAKCTTGATAAAGCCCTAGATAAGTTCAGGCCATTTACTATTTCTGCAGACTTTTCACTATCTTAGCTATGTAACAAAAACATGCAGCTTATGTTGAAAACAGCTGCTGGGACTTTTGTTTTAAAGGGTGTATTCACACCCGACACATTTGGTCCGCTTTAAACAGATCAAAGTCTGTTTCCACCTTTGGTCTGCACCTTTTATTCAGGTGTGAATACACTCATGCGAATCCTGGTGAGGACCAAACAACTGGACTGAGATCCATTTATAACGTGGTCTCGGTCCACTTCCAAACAAACTCTGATGTGGTTCGCTTCCGGTGTGAATACAGACCAGCTTTGAARAGAACCAACTACAGGAAACGTGTCTTTCTGCACTTCACGAGCCATCATTGCTAACCAACATGGCAACAATTAGCCCTTCAGTGTCACTACCACTACCACTACGCTACAAACATTGAGCCGTTATGGGTCAGGAAACGTAGAGCATCTTGTCTCCTTTGGGTTGCAGCAAGCATTTACCAACGCTATCACAAAATTATAAGTATATCATTGTGAAACCACTTTTCAATGAGCTGCTCTGGAAACTCTAAATGGTATTGCAGTTTTAATAACAGCACCATCTTTATTTCCTGGTCCGTGCTCTGTCCCGCCCCCGTCATTTATGTCCAWTGGGAGCAATGACTGTCACCAGTGTGGTTTGGTTTATAAATTATAGTCCGCTTGCAAACCACGCCAAAGGAAAAATATATAATCTGTTTTTGATGTGCACCAAACAAGTATACCCAAAGGACTTTCCTGGTGTGAACGCACCCTTAATCTTTTACACATTTCAAAACATTATTTTTACTACCCTTATTTTCCTCATTGAATAAACTGGGAATCCTTCAGTACCTCCAAAAAACATGTTATTTGAAATCTTTTATTTTTGTTATCTTATGCTACTTTAAGCTTTTAGCTACCGTTGTGATACATTTTTTTTCTTTTATCTGTTCATCTATATTTAGTTTTTAGGTAGCTGTTTGATACTTTTAACTAGCCTTTTTCTACGTTTATTTTTTTTAGCCAGGATTTTGGTGAATTTTACCCAGTGTTTTGTTCTATTTAACTTTTAGCTAATGTTCTCTGATTTTTAGCTTCACTGAAGTCATTCACAGGGAATGCAGTTTCTCACCAACTGCAAAATTAAAATATATAAATTAGAAAACAGCAGCTTCCTACCTTTAATCATTTCTTTGAATTCCTGCAGAAGAACTTCCTGGGTCACTTCAGCTCCTGGAGATCCAGGAGGTCCTTGGGGGCCTGGTGGACCTGGAGGACCAGGTGGGCCTGGCTAAAGGACAGAAAGCACACAAAACAGGTTCACGCTTCGAACTTGACCCAAAAATCATTTCATTTTATAAAAATGTGCGTCATCAGTGGGTTTACCAGGGGACGCTTGCGTTTGCGACATTTTGCAGGAAAGTTTCCAACTGGTCTCTTAACAAAATCCATCCATGATCCCAGAGGATCCACCCTCTGGTGCTCAGAAACCTGCAGAGACACAGAGAAATCATATTGTTTGTGATGGCACAAACAGGAAGATAAACAGGACAAACAGGAAGACAACAGTGGTGGATGATGGCAGAATAATCTCCATGGTGAAGAGAAAACCCTTCACAACAGCCAACCAAGTGAACAGCTCTCTCCTGGAGGAAGGTTATCAATGTCCAAATCTACCATAAAGAGAAGACTGCATGAAAGTAAATACAGAGGCTTCACTGCACGCTGCAAGACACTCATAAGCCTCAAGAATAAAAAGGCTAGACTAGACTTAGTTAAAAACATGTAAAAAAGCAGCAGAGTTCTGGAAGAACATTCTTTGGACAGATGAAACCAAGATCAACCTCTACCAGAATGATGGAAAGAGAAAAGTCTGGTGAAGGCGTGGTACAGTTCATGATCCAAAGCACATCATCATGTGTAAAACACAGCAGAGCAGTGTGATGGCTGCCAGTGGCACTGGGTCACTAGTGATTATTGATAAGACACAGGTCAGAAGCAGCCCAATGAATTCTGAGGTATTCAGAGCCAGACTGTGTGCTCAGATCAGACAAATGCAGCCAAACTGATTGGTCTGTTTCATCCTACAGATGGACAATGAGCCAAAACATAAAGCCAAAGCAACCCA